CTGACCGTCAGAGGTCTCTGAACCCATGATCCCTCTACCACTGAGGATATTTTACGTCAGCACCGTGGTCGGTGCGAGCCGGGGGCGGAATTCATATCGACCAGTTTTCGATTGGATTCGAACCCGATTCACCTCGTTGGAAGGTAAACGCTCTATCCTCTGAGCCACCGCGGCTTTGGATCAAGCGAGGGGACAAATTTTCTTTCGTTGAGGATTTTTTGAGGGAACTAATTCGCATTTGTGTTCCACAGGGAGGAAATAACCATGAGTATCGCTCACGTTTTGCCCGACGGAAAGGGGATTCTAACACTTTATGCATCTACCATTAATGTTATTTTGCGTCAGCACAGTGGTTGATGTAAACCAGTGGTTCCCAACCTGGGGGCGATCGCCCCAAAGGGGGCGATAGAGCTTCTCAAGGGGCCGATAATCCATAGGGGGGCGATCAGGGGGCAACGAGTATTTAAAAGATAAAAATTGCTAATAATATTAATAACAAAAGCTATTTGAGATTGAAATTGAAAATATATATAAAACTTATGGTTCTGGCGTAGACAAAGAATTATGATAGTTAAAAATTTAAAAAAAAAATCAAGTGCAGGATCGTTTTCGTCATACGTTTTGGTATCGCAGGCGGAAATTTGATAAGTCACTCTGTTTTTCTGAGCAATAATACTGTTTCCAGGCGTATTGACGAGATGGCCGCCGACGTTGAATCAAAACTCAAATTTTTGAAAGAAGGTAAATCTGCGTTGCAGATTGATGAATCAACTGTGATAGATAACAAAGCTGTTTTAGCTTACGTGAGATTCATAAATGAGAGTAAGGAGATTAACGAGGAAATGTTGTTTACAAGAACTTTGAACACAGATACAAAAGGATCGTCGATTTTTAAATTGGTCAAAGATTATTTTGAGGTAAAAGAAATTCCCCTCACAAAATGTAAGTGCTTGTGCAACAGATGGTGCTCCAACCATGTCTTGTTGTCATACTGGGTTTCTGGGTCACCTTAAAAAAGAAGTACCGGAAGTTATCTCACCATTCATTATGTCATTTATCGTCAACTTTTGGCTGCGAAAAATTGGTTATTTCTGGCATCAATAAAATAAAAGCTAATTCTCCTAATAACCGTTTGTTCCGAGAACTTTGCCATGAAAATGATGAAGATTTCGAATTCCTACTCCTACATACAGCTGTGAGATGGCTTTCAAAAGGAAACTGAGCCGTTCCTTCGAGTTGCTGGATTCGGTTACTGAGTTTCTCGACACCACTGATCCTGTTTTAAGTGAGAGTTTGAAGCAACGCAAGTTGGAAACTGCGTACCTCACTGATAGTTTTGAAAAAATGAAGGAAATCAACGGAAAACTTCAAGGAAATAAAATGAACATTATCAAGGTTAAGGGAATCATATCTTCATTCATCACCAAGTTTGATATCTACAAGTCAAACATAGATCGCAAAGAGCTAATACCATTTCCAACTCTTAAAAAGTGCTCAATGGCAGATATCGAGATTCTCGAAAATGAAATCTTAATTTTTACTAATTACCTTGATCAGTTTTGGAATCAAGATTTAAAGATTTGATGAAATTAGAAATTCTGGATTGAATTTTCGATCCTTTCTCTTTTGAAGTTGTGGATAAGCTCACTTCCTCTTTGCAGACTGAGTTTTTAGTTTTGAAGTATGACTGTGAGGCTAAAGTCGTCTTTAAAAAATACGGTTACGAGTTAGTTTGGATAAAGCAAATGGACTGTTATTCACAATTATGGAAACAAACTGAACCACTTCTCCTCTCATTCCCATCAACATATTTAGTGGAGAGAGGATTTAGTTCTGTTTTCCAGCTGCTCACAAAGCAAAGAGATAGGTTGGACATTTGCTTCAAAGGAGACCCTCGTTTAAATCTGACGAGCATAAAACCTGACATTCAAACTTTAACTTGAAATACACCAAGCACGGAGCAGTCATTGAAGTGGTAAAAATGTACTTTCTCACTCTTCATTTTTTTCCCAAATTTTAGTTGTTAAAGTTTTAACTTTCTCTTGATTACATTAAAATATGAATTAAAAAAAATGCACTTTTGTTTTGATTATTCAGTCTTAAATATCATTTCTTTTTGAAAAAAAAAGATGCACAATTTTTTTTTAATTAATAAAAATGACAGAATAAATGTGCCTCCTTATTTGCATTACAATTTAAATTAAAATCAAATAACATAGCATATTTTCAGTGTTTGGTTGCTCACAAACAAAAATGAATGGTTTTTTGAGCAAAAAGAGAAAGGGGCGATATGTGTCAGCCAACCCCAAGAGGGGGGCGATGGTCCACAAAAGGTTGGGAACCACTGATGTAAACTGAGGGCAAAATTCGTATTAACTTGCTCACTTCACCTGGGTCACTTGGGTTTTGAACCTGGGATACCTCTTTGGGAGTCGAACGCTCTACCTTCTGAGCCACCAATATGGATGATAACAGTATTTTATATCGGTATGTATACCTAAGCACAGTTGACACTAGGGGGTTGCTATTCGTCTTAACTTCCGAGTTACTACTTCCGATTTATTTTTACCCCTAAGTTTGAAACAGAGCGTCAGCCAGCATTAATATACCAATAGAGTTTACAGTATAAAGCGTCCTTTCGTTTTAACTTTAGTGTAATCTGTTTTATTTTGGCCGAAAACGAATTTTGACAACGCCAACAGCATACTAAGCTACTTAACAAATAACAAGCACTATATTTTGCACCTAAATAGTTTTGACCCAGAGTTTAAACCTAAATCACAATAATAAAACTTTCTGGAATATCTAACCATTCACACTTTGCTTCGTAAACATAACATAAGAGAAGGGATACACCTGAAGTCTTCTGCATTTCTTCTGGTTTTAGGATGCTTGTTATTGTTTACATTCAGTTGCCCATTCATATATTAACGGCCATTGCAGAAATGCCCCTTAATTTAGACCGACCAGACGCGGTGGGCAGGGTTGGAGCTCTTACCTTTTCTCCCCAAACTACCACAACATGACCAACGAGAGAACTTTCAACCACAACAGATTTAACGTGCATTTTGTGAGCATACATGCCGGTTGTCTTGCCTGCCTCCAAATTAATAGGATTGAACTGCCTGCTCTCTATCTAGCTGTGCGAGCGACGCCTTAATGAGCTGCACCACAGGAAGGCTAAGCAAAAACATCTTGCCAAAGAAATACCGAATACAGTTAATTTATTATAATAGGATGAGCAAATAAACGTGACATTCTCAAGTGGTTTGAAATTAGCGATGGCAACGCTCGAATACACCATCTGGGAAGAAGACCAGTCTTATGTCTTGACCCTCCCTCTCCTCCTTTTCTCAGTTGTATAGGAAAGTATTACCTTTTTCTAATATTTTTCGTGTTTAATTGTCAAAAATATTTTTTGAAATTTCAACAACGTATTTTTTAAGAGGTATGTGCGGTGCAGTTTTTTGTTCTATATCGTTTCCTAACTTAAAAGTTTTTATTCTATTTGAAAATCAAGACAGAAACTAGCGTACTTTCTTCTTCTATGACTCTCCACAAGTTAATGGTGAAAGCTTGAGACTTGTTATCATAATAAGTAGAAAGTTTTGCTCTGCGCCAACTGTAGCTAATTTTGACCGCAAATAAATGCATATTTATTATCGATGAATGACAACGTTCCTTTATTCTTATGCAATATTGTTAGATGTTTATAATTTAAAATATCGTCCTCTACAAATTAATTAGCATGAAATGCTACTTAGAGATACTGAACAGAGAAAACGTAAGGATGATATTCGTTCCGTGAAGTGATTGGAGAAGCTAAATTTAACATGTTCATCATTTTCTTTTTTGATCACCACAACTGAGGATCGAAATGGGCTGCAGGTGGCGTAGAGCAGAACTCTCTAGCTATGGCAACACTTTGCATGCTTTCACCAGTAACGTATGGAGAGTCATAGAAGAAGGAAGTACGTTATAGTTCACTCACCAGGAGTTGGCACTTGGCTCTACCTCCTAAGACAAAGAGTCCTTCTAGGAACGCAGGAGTAAGAGGAGAAACATCTCCTCCCTTGAAATTGAGACAACCCTTAATGAGCGCCAAACGCAAACAGTGAATTATTTTTCAGTCACTTACTACACTTCATCATCTGCTATTATACATTTCGTTATTCTAGCTAATTAAATATATTTTGAATTTAAAAACTGCTGTTTTCCCTGCAAAATGTCTAAAAAAACAGACTATTCACTCAAAAGAGAGAAGTACCAAATTTTTGACATTTTTAATGTTTAAAAAATGCCCATAAGATTGCAAAATGAATAATTTTGTCATATGATAGACAAATAGCAACCTTGTTCAGGATTATTCATACCCTTTTCCCAAAAATAGCGAAATAGTATAGTCGGATACAACGTTATAAAGGCAGAGCAAAGTGCCAACTCCTGGTGAACTAACTATAGCTCCTGTCTTGATTTTCAAACATATTAAAAACTTTTAAGCTTGGAAACTACATGGAACGGAAAATTACATTGAACATAGTTCTAAAAGAAAGCTTCTTGCAAATATTAAAAAAATATTTTTAGTAGTTAAATACAAAAAATATTAAGGAAGGGGAAAATATCAAAGCATATTCCTATACAACTGAGAAGAGGCGGAGAGGGAAGGGTCAAACATGGAACCGGCCTTTTCCCCAGATGGCGTATTTGAACGCTACGATCTGTACGTTATATGACTGCGCCACCTATTGATAATAGCAGAAAACGATAATCAACGCATCTGCGGAATTTAGAAACTGCACTGTACATGCGAGACATTAATTTTCTCATTACTGAAGTAAAATTAAAAAAAGTTTATACATTTTTTGAATAGACTTAGATTAAGATTTATTACATGATATTTACTGTTTTATTAATATATATTTATTTAAGAATATCTGCATATTCTGCCCTCTAGTGTAAAAAAGTAACTTATCAGTGCAGCTGTTGTGCCGGAAACAAATTATGTTAGCGCTGTCAAATAGTTTCGCTCTACAATCCTAAAATTTTCTTCTTAGTGTTTTTGTGTATTGATTGTAAATTTGTCTAATGTTTGTGTCCCGATTTTTTATTGAAAAACTACAGATTTTGTTTGTTTTTAAAAGATATGACCATATCTCCCTCGTTATTCATACTTCAAAGATGTAGTTAGATCAAATATGTTCTAAACAGTAGTTTAGATCTTTGTTTCCTCAATCTGACAGTTTCTGATTGTTAGGCCTATTGTACCAATAATAACGATAAGCCGCCGATGAATCACCGAAAAATTTTATAAATTATAAATCATTTGCTGTTAACTATTCTAAGATCCAGCTTGTTTCATTGGCTCATTGCTTTATACAATTGTGATCTTCTGATCCTTGATTTGCGAAATAAATATAAAAATATATTCAGCTAGTTTTAGTATGAGGGTAGGTACTAGTATTAGTTGTTTACTCTCATATTAGTTAATCCGGGCTCAATTTTATTTAAAGATCTACTTCCTAAATATAAAAATGTGTTGGAAGTTTTTATTGAAATAAAAAAAAATTTTATTCTTTTAATTTATAAGCTATTTGTAATGCTTTTTTTTTATGTCGAGGGCTGTTTTTTTCTATTGAATTATCGTTTTCTGTAAATTTGTCCTTTATTGTTAGTGTGTATTGTAAAACCTGTATTATTAGTGTGTATTGTTGCTCATTTGGAGCATGTTTTTCTGAGTATATGTTTAATTATTAGTATTGCTGTAGGTATTAGTATGACAAATGAAATTAGTTGACTAAATAAGATTATGGTCACAATGATAGAAACCAACATTTTTTACGTCCAAAGCATTATTTTACATTAAACCTTAAAGAAAGAACTGATAAAAACTTTTTTAAAAGGTTGCAATAAAAAATTGATCATTTATTATTTGCTCATAATCAGCTATCTTTTTAGTATAATTTATTGTTATTGTGTTATTAAAATGTATATAAGTTAAAATTTAGATAGCTGTTCACAATTTGATTACTTAAAAAGTCATATTTTATGTGACTATTACGATGCTTGAATGTAATAAAATTGATTGTTTTTTATCATAATTTTATTTATAAATAATTTCATTATTCATAAGCACTTTTTTAGTATTAATAATGAAAAATACAGAGTAGTCTATCAGCACTATTTTAATTGTCTAACTCTTTTAATTGATAATATTTTCTAGAATAAATTTAGATTAGCGTTGCATAAAATACTCTTGGCAATTTTTATTTTCTACTGTAGTATAATTTATAATTAAGTTTGCCTATTAATAATAAATTTATTTGGTAAGTTGTGTATTCAATATAATAATTCAGTAGAGCGTTTGTAGTCATTTGTACTTGGATATAATGTCTTAGCTAAATTTGATAGCTATTGGGCTAGAATCTTTTTGAAATATTGTTTACAGATTTGGGATTTTTTTTAAAGAAAAACCTTGTAGCTATTTTAATAGAAAACTGTGACAAGGTCTTTTTTACAAAACTTAATTTATGTAAGGTGTTGTAATAAGAAGAGAAACAAATGTGTTTTCTTTAAAGTAATGCTTCAAAAATATGTCATGCATCAAGAATACATATGTCATGACTTTTTATTGGTATTATATTAAAAACTATTATTTATCCTTATCTGAGACCTTTTATAAAATAACTTAATACTAGTAAATTTTTTTAATTATTGAGTTAAGTTAGACCTACTTGTTTTAAATCATGGGTTATTACTAGTTTTAGAAGCTTGTCATAGCACAGATTACAACAAATTATTAATGTTTCTCTTAAGTTTGTAAATTTTTAAAAATACCAGGATTCAGGCAAAAGTAGTTTAGAGTATAAATTCTTTAATTATATTTTAACAGCAATTAGTACTTTTCTGAAGCTAAAATTAATGATGTGTGACTAATAAGTCCGTTTTGGAGAATAAATAAATGGTAAGAAATTAGTTCTAAGATAGTGCAAATTATGACAAGTAAGGTAGTCTTTCTATTTACAAGTAAGGTAATCTTTCTATTTGTTGAATAATAAATTAATGAGGATTCAATATCTCCTTAAAGTGAAATAAGAATATAAAAGGAAGAAAAATTTTGACTATTTTTAACAGGAAAATTTACTGAACCGAGAAGCTATGCATGGTGTTTTCTACACTAGGGAGCGCTGCAGGCTCTTTACCGCCTATACTTCCGGATTACTGTTTCTGGTGCATTTTGAAGCCATTTGGCTCAGAGCGTGATCATTGTGTTTTAAAATTCATAATAGTTCTTGTAGACATTTTATTTGTTTATTTATTACTTGTATTTACAATGAATTCTAAGTCTAAATGTCACATGCAATAGCTAATAAGGATGTCGTTACATAATAAGAATAATAGTGAAAAAACGCTTCGCTTATATCATTTTAATAATGTTAAAATTATAAAGGGTGTATAATTTTAAGGTAAAGGGTATATAGTCGTGTTAAGTAGAAGTAATACATAGTTTGATCAATAATAAATATGTAAACCTAACGTTTGAAAAAAGAATCCATATAAAGCACTTCTTACCTTGTCACTAATATATGCCAAATTTCAAATTTAAACCTGAATTATAATTGATAAACTTAGTCTTGATGCTCTAACAATATGCTAACACTGACTTAAGATGGTGCACAGCTAATAAAAAAAAAAAAACAATGACAGAAATATTTTTCACAGCATACTATATTTAGTTTCAAAATTCTGTCCAATTTAATAAATATTTTAGTATTGCTTAATCAGATTAGCTTGAAAATTAACTTCTAACTAAGACTGAGGTTAGAACTAGATTAAGTACTCCATTCAGTATTTATCTGTTATTGTAATTTTAGCACCTCATCTGCTACTGCCGGATTGTCCTCATAACCATGCAACCATTTTAACACAGATATCGATTTCGAAACTTTCCAATATTATGGTTAGATCTTTTTTTTTATAAAGGCAAATATTAAACACATCATGTATGTTTAAAACTTTTTTTGCAAGCTCCTGCAAATTTTGAAATAAAACTTTCACCTTGCTCTCATTCAAAATTGTGTTTGAACTTGTTTATTCTACAAACTAGTTTTACAGTCTTCTATGTAACTCTTTACATTAAAAAGATATAAAAGCTATTAGTGGTGACTTTTTTTTATCGTTGATTTTAGCTGGTTATGAATAAACTGGAAAATATTCTATTAAGTTGATTCATAACCCAGTAGCAAAATTAATGCCTCGGTGACTTGTGCCACAAATTTAAAAATTAGTAAATACAAGTATCTAATCACAAGATCTGCAAATAAATATTAGAATTTTTCCATTTTTAAGCAGATTTCTACAGAGATTTTTGCTATAGAGTTACATGCTATCACTTATCTTGAGGTTGATCTATAATTATTGGATCGAATCCAAAACATATATCAAATAATTTTTCCTTGACTCAAGTATACTCTTCACAAATTAACTGTAAATATTATTATTTTTTTTTTAAGTATTACTTCTATTTTACTGATTTTGCATTATACTTTATTACTAGAATATAGTATAACTTTTAAAATGTATAGATATTGGTTTTGTAAAAAATTAACCAGTGATTTATTTTGTCTTGTATGTAAGCTATCTTTGCTAAATATTCTCAATGTTAACCCAAGTTTAAAACATTAAAATATTGCTTACCAGTAACGGGTCTGTCCAGGCCAAATTTACTACCGTTTAGCGGTACCTTCACAAATTCAACCTTAAACCTTTTCGTAAAATTTTATTTTTGTATCCCGTCAGAAACGAAAAATCCATATTTTTAACACATTTTTGTGTTAATTTTTTAACATAATTTTTAATTTTTACAAATTATGTCTAAATTTTCACAAAATAGGTACCGCACAGAAAATCCTAGACAGATCCCTGAGTAATCTTAAAGTATTTTTTTTTTCTCATCATTGTACGCTCTACTTACCTTCATTTTATCTATTTGAAAAACTGAAATTTTCAAGGGGGAAAAAAATTTAAGCTTAAGCTTTTTAAGGAAGTAAACATTTATACTTTGCTGAAATGTTTCCCATCTTTCTTTGAGATTGAGGGACAACTGCTATATACCTTTATATAAATTTGAATTTATAAGATAATAATAATTGTGAAGATATTTGAATACCTTTATACAGTTAAAATTTTTACTTATTAAAAGTTTTAATTGATTAAAAAATTTAAATGTGTTACTCTTCAATCATGTAAATTTATCTATCCGATTAACTATAATTTGAATGGTATATTTTTATCATAATTATTTATCATCTGAAACTTGTCATAATGTGAATTTTATCCGAACACACTAAGTATCTTTCATTCCTGAGACCATAATGTTGTTTTCCAATAGAATAAGGTGTTCAATATTAAAATTATATTGCAACTATGCACTAAGAGCTAGTAAGTTTAAGGGTTAAACGCATTTAAAGTAATTTTATAATGATTATTCTATTGTTTTTTAGGATGAGAGAAATCAACTGATTCAGCATATGAATGGTATGAGTGCCCCTCTGTTAGTTGGAGCATGCCCAGGGACAGCTATCCCTGTTGCAATGGTCCCTGTCCTACCCATGGGTGCTGTCAACGGCAATGAGCAAGGTCAAGTGCAAGGTGCTATGCAGGCTGTCACCAATATGGGCAACGGTGGTGGTGATTGCAAATATGATGACAAAAAGGTATATTGCTAAGCTATTTTATGGATTTTTATATTTTCAGCTTTATTTTACGATATTTGATTGGTAAAAATCATTTACTCAGTTTATATTCTATTCATCCTTCGTGTGTGAAAGAATATTTTTTTTAAATTATTATTTTGCTTTGTTTTCATACATCAATAGCTCTATATTTAAAAATTATTTTTTTTCCTCGAGCACAAAGAGAAATAAAAGAAATAATTTTCTAGCCATCAATTAAAAAATAGACTGAAGACATGCTAAAAAATCTAATAAGTTTATTTTATTATCTGAGGTTTTTATTAGGTACCCATCAATGGAATGTAAAAGAAATTTCTTTTTAATTATTATTTTGCTTTATTTTCACACATCAGTAGATCTTCATTTTAAAAATGAATTTTTTCCTCCATCACAATGAGAAATTTAAGAAATAATTTTCTAGGTATCAATTGAAAAAAATTGACTAAAGACTTGCTAAAAAATATAGATTTCTCTTATTAATTTTAAGACATAGAAATTGTTTTTCACAAAGTGCCGTAAAAAGATAATTATATTCTGAAATTAAAGGGTAATATTTTTTAAAAGTCAATCATTAAGGAAACACCAAAAATTCCTTGCAGTCTGAATGACGTCGTGTTTTTGAATGAATCATAATTTTAAAAATATTTTCTGAATTAATTACTCTCAGTTACTTTAAGGATAACAACCTATTCCCTTTCAGATTTTCTAAATAAAACATGAAACAGCTCAATTTTGAGTGTGTTTTTCATTTCTAGATATCTCTGTGCCCAATCTGAACTTCATCCTTATGTGGGAAAACATAAATGCAAACTACAGAAAAAAATTCAATTAAAATTAATCTAAATTTATAAAATGCCTATTTATTTGAAATAGCTAAATTTCTTTGTAATTTCTAGCCGTTGAGAGAAATTTCGTTAAAACACTTTTTGTTATTCGGAAAACACTTTTTGAAATTTCGTTAAAAGCACACTTTTTGTTATTCGGAATTGTAAAAATTGCAATTTAAAATAATTATAATTGTAGAAATTGCATTAGAAATAATGATAAAAAGTTTCTTTCAAAAATTGCAATTAGGGCTCAAAATTAATGATGATCCATCAGAAACTTGAAAATTTGACTTGAACCGACATACAGTAATAATAAATGATCTCCAGAACCAGCTATCAATGTGAAATGATGGTATGCTGTTCTGATTTTCACTTTCGTGCATTGGTCTAAGCTTTTGCAACAAAATAGCACATTTCATCATAATTTTGTATATTGCAAATTTTATGTGAGCAAACTCATTGGTTATATCACTAAGCCATCATTAAGAAGGACTGGAACTAGATCTTCTGTGGTAACTAGGAGCTTGTTTGTAAAAATGTAAAACCTCAACTTCCATGACTCCCTGGCCCACAAAGGAATGCTTTACTTTTTAAATTTTCTCTATATTGTAGTTTTTCATTCAATTTCGCTTTATTAACCTTTTTTCTTTTTTTTTTTTGGAGAAATCTTATAAAAAATATGTAAGCAGTTCAAAGAAAATGTGTATGGACTAGTACCTTTTAGTTACTGGTCTTTTGGTCTTAAATTTTCTTACTTATAAGTTCTAGCCGTATTGTTTTCATATTTTCCGAATAAAAATATAATTTTCTAAATAGATTTAAAAATTTTAAAGTAACATCAATCAAGGCCAGAATTTAAAAGCACTTTTAAAAAAACATTTACCTCTTGCTGAGCAGTTTGAAAGCAACTGTACCAAGGTGACCCATATTGAGAACAGATGATCATACTATTTAGTTTTTAAATATTTAATTTAAGTGTTATAGATGGTGCTAAAATTAAAAGTGATGAACTATTTAGTAATTAGTAAGAGAGATGAGTAATGATTAATTTATTTAAAAATTAGTGGCTTGTGAAGTAATTAAATAATAAATTTGGTATTGTACTGGCAGTACAAATGAGAAGTAGGACATCTTCAATAACTAACAGATCGATTCATCAATAGCAACAATTGAATTGATCAATGGAGAAAAATTGCAAAAAGAATTACTCCCGATGACACCGAACTAAAAGTTAACATACTAAAATTTTAAACATTCAAAATATACTTAAGTGTTAAAAGCCGGATCACTTGTGCACAAATAACTTAAGTCCAATAGTTGTGGAACTAGCCGCCATAAAGAATGAATAAAATAATCCACATGAAAAATAAAAACAACAGGTTTTATCTGTCACATAATTTTATGAAATTTTAGATAAAAATAAATCTTTACAACCAAAGCATTAGAATAGTATAATCACCAATAGAGGATTTAGAGATATTAGTTGTTTTAAAGTTCTCCATTAAAATTAAATTGCTTGAGAGTTAAAAAAAATGATTAATAAATCACATATCCATTATTAATAAAGGTTGATTAATCCATATATTTTATCTAAAAATATAATAAACTTTACACACGCTGATTCAGAATCCTTTAAAGTTAAATTTCGGTAATATTTTCAATGCAAATGAACCAAACATGGATCATATTATACAAACAAAACTTGAAATCACAAACAAAATAATTTCACTATTTGATTATCATACAGGTTATCTTTTCTTATTTATCTTTCGTTTAATGTACCATATAATTATACTAATATAAAATCTTCTGGTTCATTGCAGGGAATTATTCATTTTTCAAATGTTTGTGAGAAAAAATCAAAGTATAACTCATCAAGTAATTACCCAATAATAAGCAAATTCCAATTTTATCTATCCAAAGGCAAACGTGAACAGTAATATTGGTTAAATCTAAATCAAGTGGTTTGTCCACAATTGAAAACAGTAGAAATTCATACAAATTGGGTAGAAAAATCATACAAATTGGGTAGAAAAATCATACAAATGGTACTAAATCATTTAGGAAAAACAGAGAAAATTTGCATATTATTATTGATTTCTGAAACAACTAATTACTAATAATAAATAAGTAATTGCATACGGAAATTAAAAATAATGTATATTAAAAGCAATAAATAATAACTGGAGATAGATATGATACTTGACCATTGACGAGAAGTTTAAAAAATTATCAGACTAGTATCAACGGCAGTGATATATACTGGCACTGAAATACAAAAACAAATTTAAAAAATAAAATCATTTTAGCTTTACTAATTGTGTTGGTGTATATTTTTTAGTTTTGCGCAGGATTTCGTAGTGTTGTTTAATACTGATGTATCGATTACCTTACTTTTTTTCCGACTTGTACGAAAAATGGGTATTCAGCAAGTTAATATATAAAAAATATTTTAAATAAAAAGTTAGAAATCAAAAACAAGACCAAAAAAAATTTCATGATTATGATAATAAATGTTTTTTTATTTTATTGTTATTGTTTTTTATTATATTTACTTTTATTCTACTTAATCAAATGCTATCATGATGATGACCATAGTGATATAAAGTTTTCAGTCTTTTAGTGCAGTGTTCCCCAACCGGGATCAGATCCCCAACCCAACAGTGTACCGGTCCGTGGATCAAATGGTACTGGGCCGCCCATTTCATTTAAACTGAATTTAAATTCCTAGGTTTAAACCCCAAATTAAAAATATTTGTGTTCCATTAAAATTTTATTTATTTAAAAAAAAGGGAGCCCCGAAGGTAGTGACATTAATTTTTTAATGTTTTAAAAAGTAAAAAGAAGACAAGAAAACCACCTCAAGCATTTTCTCGTTCAATTAGTTTTAATAAAAATAAAACAATTATTATAACTGTAAATATCATGAATAAAAACACGAAAGCGCGGCGCGAAATTTACATTGGAACTAATGAAGAACTTCGTCTTCTCTCTCGATCGTGACTCATTGATTTAACGTTCTTCTAAGTTAAAATGTTAAATCACATTTTTTTTTTTTTTTGCTGTGACTGTATTTTATTTTGAAGGCCTGTATAAATACAATTATAAAATTAATAAATCAAAATAATCTAAAATATAAACAATCAACTCCTGTCCCCCCCAGCGAGCCGTGTTAAAATTATCAAACGTTGACAGGTCCGCGGTGATAAAAAGGTTGGGGAACACTGTTTTAGTGGATTTTAAAAAATAAAAAAATTAAGACAACATGAGATGGACAAGATAAAGTTAGTAGGAAGAAAAAAAAATTATAAAGTCTCTGATTTTAACAAAATATTTTTTTTTTTCTTTCATTTCGAATGTACAGTTACACCTGTTGAACTGTTAGTTCAGTTTTTTATTACAAAAGGTTTTTCTTCTAAAATCTATTAATGAATGGCTTCCAAAGTTGAAGGAGAGAGAAACAATATTCAGAGAGAAGCTCGGAGGGTTTTTCTATTTAATTTGCATTGCGTATTAATATTAAAGAAGAAACTAATCTTATTATCTAATGAGTAAAAATTAATGATTTTCAAATAAAGTTAGATTGCTTCTTATCTGATTTGTGGAGAAATTTTAAGTACATTAATTTATATTTTCCAAATAAATTTTGTTCATTAGTCTTAGTAGAAAAATTAGTTTTTGTTTTTCAAGCATGAGGATTATACACATCTAACTTTTATTTACTCAAAAACGTAGACTATACCCCTTTTTTATTTTGTCTGGAAAAATTTTCTTAACTTTTACATCTGATTTATTCTTTGAATGTGGTTTTCAACTTATACCTCAGGGACAACCTATACTTAATTTTTTGATCAATGAAATTATTTATTAAAACCAAAATTTTTATTTTTTCATCTAGAAATTCTCTATAGGAACAGATGGGGTAAAGAGGGTATTAAAAAACGTGTACTTTCTCCATTTAAATTGAGATAAATCATTTGATATTTTTTGAGACATTCACTAGGATTGCAGCAAGCATTTTTATTTCAGTTTTAGAAGTTCCAAACTATCTGTTCATGATCAACTTATACAGTATGTTAGCTATAACTGTGTATAAACTTTCTTCTAATATCATTAAAACCTGTCAAAACTATGAATTTTAGTTCAAATTGGTAGAGAAACCCGAAAAACTGATATACATAGCAATTTAAGAATAAGTTTCGAAATTGAATGGTTTTCTTAGATGGGGTAAAGTTGGAATATGGTTAAGCTTAACTAAGTATTATATGATAGNTAGAGTCTTAATCACTAAGATTATCAGTTTCACTTAGAAACTACTCCGACAGACAATTCCAACTGACTCTCTTCATTTACATCGAGAAAGTTCCAATACATTCCTGTTCCTGAGAGCGACATCTGGCGGGATAACATAGAGGCTGTTGTCTCGCTTATTACATATATATATATATATTACTTCGGTGTTAGCTTTAGAAAGTATCTAATGCTCTATATTTTTTGTAATGAAATACTGTTAAAAAAAATAATTTACTTGTTTGACTGTAGCTCTACATAGTAATTTTTACACTGAAAGCAAAATTTATTTTAAATTTTATTTTTTAAATTGAAAAGTGATAAGAGGGATATAACTGACATATACAATTAAAAAGAGTTCAAAAATTGCATAATTTAGTGAGCATATGTAAAGGTATATATGAGTTTTCACGCATATGGCAGTTTTTTCATGGATATCCCTGAAATAACTCCTTAAAATTCCTTTATCCTTATTCCTGTCCTTAAAATAACTAAATTGAATAAACATACATGTCTACTATAAATAGTAAAAAGGCTTCAAAATTGTGGAAAAATACCACTTAACCCCACCTGACCTTATACAACGACTTTCTTGGATAGTTTTAGCTTTTTAGTAATTTCTCGTCTTTTTCTTTAATATTTTAAAGGTCCGAATATCAACGTCTTCTTGATGTTTAAATTAAAAATAACTAATAGCTAAATATCATTCAATGCCTAGAATTGATTTTCCTGTATACTTTGTTTTAGTATATCATTATCATTAGTGGTTTAATACAGGACTCATAGTTGTTCTGATTTTCTTCATTAAAATATTCTGTTCTTATTTGTCCTGATTTTTAATATTGGCTCACACCTGATCTATCTAATTCTTTTTGTTTGTTTGTTCAGAACATACCATTTTGACAAACGTGTGATTATAAAAGAGCTATTTGGATAAAATTTTGAAAAAATTGGACTTACTTATCAATGTCAACTAGTAAGTTTTGATTCAAAAAGTGAAATCTGAAACATTTTTCAAATGTAAAAGGTGTAGCTTGCAAAATAGAAGCCTATCTTTATATTCTATTTTTCCTCAGAATTCTCTTTTTCCTAAATCAGTACTAGATGGAGAATGTTCTTAATCAATCCCACCCTTTTAACAGAATTGTTTTTTTTTATTTTTGTCATTTTACATATCTTTTAATTTGCCAATAACCAGCATTTGACCACAAGGTCACGCACAGTAGGTGTCTCACTCATAGGCTACTGAAAAAGAGGAAATTTTTTAAAGAAATAAAACCTTTCTTCCGCATTAAAATTTCCTTTTTTTTTTTAAAGAAAAGGAAACCATCTAACTTTGTTTTAATAAAGCTTTTTCCTACGTTATTGCAACAAAGTCAATCTTTTTTTTTTTATTTTTTTTTTTAAGAGAATAGGCTGAGCTGCCTCTCTTCTGTTTGAATGAAAAAAGTTTTTTTTTTCCCTCAATACCTTTAATTTTGCATAATTGTCTAAAATAAAAATTCTTAGTTTTCGCTAAAAGTTTTCATTGTCTAAAAATATCAAAAAATGCAGTTGTTTTGCTTTCTTTTCAGAGTGCATTCAATCCTTTAAACAATTATTATTATTTTTATAAATTGTAAAAATAGTCATAACATTTGGGATAATTCACTAATTTTTAATTGTATATTTTTAATACCCTTCAAAACTTACTAGTTTTAGAATGGTTATATCATCTTTTCATTTTATAACAATCAATCCTCTAATTACTCAGTGTTCAGATAATATTGTTTCAGTCTTTTGATCATCATGAAAAAGAAGCTCATCATTTTTGCTATTGGAATTTTTTTCTTATCTCCTATTGCTTTTTAAAAAATAATGTTAAAGGCGAGTTATTAATATTTTTAATTAATGTCTAAATATATTTTAATTAATATATGAATTATAATAGCATAATTAGATATTTTTTAATATTAAATGTTTTGCCAAGTTAAATTATTGCTAGTCTTCTTAAACAAATTTTTAATTTAGAAAAAAAAGCAAATTCAGTATATTTTCATGTATCTTAAAAGCTTAAATAAAAGAGCTATTATGCACAAAGTAGAAACTAGGGGTTGTGCCTATTTAATATGTTTTATTTTAGTTCCAATTTTTTTTACTGCTTTTTAATATTATTTTGCTTTAATCTAAACATGTTAAGCTAAGCTCTTAATTAACTATGTTAACTCTGCTCACCTTTAATTAAAATTTAAAAAATCTCTCTAACAGCGGATGAATTCACCTCAGGCTATGCAAAATAAGTCTATGAATCGAAAAGTTCCTGCTAATGGGCCTCACAGGATGGTGAGTTTCTTGCAATATTTATCATTAAAAGATGAAAGAATTATTTTTGCCAAATGGAATGTCCTTATACACTTATGAATTTAGTAAATAAATGTTTCTGATGCATGTATTAAAACTATTAAAAATCTATTGCTACTCTGGTGACTGGTTTTCAATGCATGACCTGCCAATGATATTCTAGCATTCCTGCCATGTCTCCTCTTGTTTTTTAACAAAGGCGCTTGTATTTTATAACTATCCCCTGTTTACCTGCATATTCTTAAATTTCTCCGTATTTGTTGGGGGAAAAAAATTTATTAAAAATGGCGAAGTATCCCCTGATGGCAAAAATTCTTCTCTTATTTTTCAACAAATGGTGCTATTGCCAGTACTGCGGCATGCTGAGTATTTTTAGTTTAAGTAATTATAAATAATGGTTCAAAAAAAAAATCTTCTTTTGATTAAGATTTATATAAATAGTTATTACTTCTCTAAATGTAAGTGCTTATATTATTTCCAATTTTGAATTTCTCTTTTTGACTTACATGGTTGTGCATGATGTATCAAAACTTAACTCGTAGCTTTAAAAATGTCGCTAGTAAAATCTGTTGGCAGGTGTGTTCTAGTGCACCCTCTAAATTATTTCAGTTAGTTTAGAACAGTGATTCTCAACCTTTTTTTTGTGGCGGCACACTTATAACGATTTCAAAATTTGACAGCACACATGGGGAAAAAAATAGTTTAAAAGTTGTTTACTTACCAATAATACACTGTGTTAAATAGTCTGTGATAATAATTTTGAATGTGAAATAAAATAATATGCGCGTTTATTAAGGGATTAATTATTTATTTCGACTAATTTTTTATTACTTAGTAACAGTTATTTATTTTTTTTGCTAGTTATTAATTGTTAGCTTGTTTTCTATAGTTATTAACTGTTAGTTTTTTTACATTAATTTTTATTTTTTTGTGATTTCTTGTTAATTAGTTTTTTTGCTAATTATTAATTGTTAGCTTATTCTGTTTGTTATCCTTTGTTTATTTTCTTTTATAACTAATAACTGCATAACTTACTTTAATGATTAGTTTTTAATTCTGTTGGAAAGTTAATATTTAGCTTGTTTTAGCGTTTGTTAATTATTTTAATAGTCATTAAATTTCCTACTTATTTTAACATTTTTTAAAACTGTGTGTCAAAGAAAATTTAAACACTTCCTTCTTATTTTAAGATTGTCAGAGACATGACAATCGCCGACAAAGATGTTCGCTCTGTTAAAGCGTGAAAATTTTTTAAAAAAGTATATATATAATATTATATATATATGTACACTTTTCTTTAATTTAAACTTTACTCATAATAAAAAAAATCATTATAATTTTTATTGTATCATTTCTAATATTTAGCATCACATTTTAAGAATTTGGCGTCACACAAAAGTGTCGCGGCATAGTGATTGAGAATCACTGGTTTAGAACAATAGCATAAAGAAGAAAAAAGATAGTAGGAAGATAATTATTTCTAAAACTAACAAGGAATTCAAAATTCGTGGTTGATACCTATCTAATGATTAACAGATTAGTCTGTTTAGTACTTTATTAAAACGATTAGTGTAGTAAGAGATTAAGTTCAACTTACACATTTTTCATAAGGATGTGCTTTTATGATAGCTTTTTAAAGTTAATTAAAATGAAAAAAAAAGGAGAATTAAACCTCAGTGGCTTCTAGGTGATTTGTGTGGTAGGAATTGTTCTCTATTAAACAATAAGCTACTCATTTCGGAAGTGTTTTAAAATGGTCAGATGTGATAGTAAGGTAGATAAGTGTGAAACATCGAAATGCATAATCATGCTAAAATCAATTCATAGTATTTAAGATAGGATGTAAAATATTTTTGAGGCGTGCCAGCAAAAAAATTATGTTTCATAAAGTTTTACTTTCATGTATAATTAAGCTTAAATTTTCTTTTTTCATTACTTATGTTTATATTCTGTTACAAGACAAGAAAAAGCCAGATCCCTGTGGCAGAATCTTTTCGGGTTTCTGCTACAAACCTCTCTAGCACTAATATTTTTTTGCAAGGTACTTTTAATAATAAATATACTTAGGGTTCAAGGCGACAATTTCTGTCAAATGTCACTAAAATCATACGAAAGGGCAACAAATTTGTCACCTTGAAATATATTTGGAATTTACAACAGTGTTCTACCTAAGCTTTTTCAGAATGGATGTCTGCCCTTTGATTGAAATGTGCCCTCTTTGTCCTTTTAATAAAAATAAGCCGCCCTCCATTAAAAACACTGCCTTTTTATGCGTATTCCTTTTTTTTAAAAATTAATTCATTGTTTAAATAAAAATTACACGCTAGTAAAATTTTCTGTGTTTATAGGTCTTCGAGAACACGTTAGGCATTATTTTCCCTTTTAATTACATTAAAATTATGTGATTATTTTGCATATTCTCTTATTAATCTGTCTATTTAGGGTTCATCTGAGATATTTAGCCCCATTAACAAAGAATGTTCACTAAATTATGCAAATATTTAAAAAATTTTAACAATATGTACCTTTTTAATAAATGGGTAATTGAAACTTACTGCATGTAGTTTTAAGCTTTTTGAAGGATTTTGTTTACAATTAAACATTTTCTTTTAATCATTTACAGAACTTGTGTCTTTTAAATATTACATACTCATATGATAATGATGTAATTATTGGATTTGCCAATGCATTTAATCATTGTAATCTCGTATTGATTTGAAACATGGTTTACTTCAAATCAGTCGTACTATCTTATTAAAATATATTTATGTAATTTTATTTCAATCATTTTAAAAGTTTTTATTGATCTATTTTCATTAATGCAACTTTAAAAGAGAAATAAAAAGTTTCAAAAGTTATGCAAGTGTTATGCATATAGGAATTTGTTCTTAAAATTAACTATAAAAATAGTGAAGAAGTAAAACGAGGAAAAAAAACTTTTACTTATATTGCAATATTTTATACATTGTAATTATATGTGAAACTATTATTTTCCAAGCCTTGAAAAAATTTCACTTCTTCTGTAAACTACTATAAAAATATCAGCTGGTTACTTGGCAACTATCATGTATGAAGATTCTTCTTCATTCCTATTTTTATAAATTTACATTGTGAATTTCATATGTGTCATTAATTGATTGTTAACACATGTAAGTTTAATAAGGCATAGAAAGCACCTAATTTAACTAACAAATGTACCAAAAAATGGAAAAAGCTTGTAAGAGATAAAAATCTTAAGTAAACATTAAAAAATGCTCCAATAGCTGAATAATAAGGTTATAAAAATTCCTATTGTTTCAACCTAGGCTATCTGGCTAATATATATATATTTTTTTTTTAAATCTTTGTTTCATTGAATCATAACCAACAGGTATCAAATCAGATGTTTCATAGGAGTTTAAGAGTAGCATATAATTTTTTGTAAGTCTAAACTGAACATTTAAATGTCAACCTGACTGTACCGAAGAGAATGAATTTCCATATTATTATAGTACATGGTATTAGAATTTTACGACATATTGAGAAATGGAGAAATAATATACTTTTGTTTTGCTCATGCTTCTTCTTTTTTTTTCTAATTCGCTTTATAGGATTTAATTTTGTAAATAATGTATTCCTCAATATTTTAATATAGATCGGCGTAATAGAGAGTTTTTCTTATTTTTATGAAATATCAGACAACTGTAATAGGCGTAACCAGACAGGAGGTAATAGAAATGTTATTTTTATGAAAATATCAGACAACCTTTTACAGAGTTCTTACATCTTTTTTTCTTTTTAAGTCTATGTCTAGTTCAATTATTTTTAACTCCATAATTATAGAGAAGATGAAAGGCTTTCTATTTAATGTTTGTAATCTTGTATTGCAGAAACCTTTGAAAATAAGAGCAGTAAAGATGACATTACTGCAAAAATAGTAAAAGTGTAGTTAGTGGTTCCAAAACTTCATCCATAATCCACTCGTGGTCTGTTAATTGTTTAGAAAAAAAATTTTTATACGATTCTAGAATGTAGCTAAAAGGCTTAATTAAAATTAACATTGTAAAAAAAACTATATAGAAAGAAAGTACAATTATATACTTTTCATTTAGTTACTTCAAAATCTTAAAAAAAGAGGATAATATCTTAATAATGTGCAATTAAATTAAATAAGAAATACAATTCTCTAAGTTTTGATAATTTTATAGATCACCTACTTTTTATGGAAAAAAGTGGAGGAAGGCAAGTTTTATTTTTCATTGAGATTTTGAAATCAATTTGTTATGTGAGAGGAATCATTTAAGAGTAAACCCGCTAATTTTTAGCATATTAGTTAAGAGCAGGTTCAATAAAATTATCAAGCATTGAATAAATAATTATGATTGTTATCTCTGTAGTTTAGCGCTATATGTTTTCTCTGTAGTTTAGCTCTATACAAATATTGATTTATTGTTTTGCAATGAAAAATCTGTATTCATATTATATTTATAATCCCAGACTTTCATTTTATACTTCAAACTTTTCTTGAATTCATTTATTATTTTGTTCTTGTATTTTTCACTTGGCTTTTATCCTATCTTCTTTCTGACTTAATTAGCTTTGCTGCTTGCTTAACTCTCTATTTGTTTCTAACGGGAACCTTGCTTTTCTTGCAGCCTGTCCGTCCTGTGTATACAAAGCATCAAGCACCTCTTCGCAACCCAAGCCCTCAGATCCCCGCCACTGCGATCCAAACTACTCACCCATTACGCCCTCCCCAAGGATGCATTGCTCCTTATATTTCACGCTATCCTGCTTCAATTCCTGCTCCTCCTCCCACTTGGACATCATCTGCTGCCTCTATCGGATGCTATTCCCCATCTTCTGTGTCATCTATGAATTCTGTGAGTTTTCATTCTGTTACTACTTGAATCTCATGCTTCTTTTTTTTAATTCGCTTTATGCGATTTAATTTTGTGGATAATGCATTCCTCAATATTTTGATATGACTCTGCATAATAGAGAAAAAAAATTTTCTTCAGATGGATTTAGATTTAGAAATTTAAGGATTTATTATTATGTTAAAAGGGCTTAGTAAATATTAAATTGCTATCTATTTAACACCAATTTATTGGGTAGTGGAGTTAAAGCTAAAAATGATAGAAATTTCTTTGTTGTTGAAACTTAATTTTGCATTATTTTGTTTGCAGCGAATTTGAATCAGTTCAATTTGGATTAGTATAATATGTTTCATGTATTTGTTATTATGTTGTGCATGTTAAGCTATTATTTATAATTTTAATTTATAAGTAAATTTTGGTTTTTCTATAAGATTCAGCTATATATTTCAGAAATCACCATTATTCAAGTTGAATCTTGACTCAAGATTACAAACTATGATACAACAGGACTAGTTCATATGTATTACAGCAAGATAACCATATCTAAACTTCCTTCGATACAAATTTTAATATAATTTACTAGCAGTTTTAAGAAACTGTAAAATCTATAAAAGTCAAGCTACAATCTTATCTATTTATTGCAGGGTTGGCAAGTTTTTGACACATGACGGTTTTAACCATGGTTTTTACCGTCATGTCAAAAACCCCTCTGTCAAAAACGTCTAAAACTGTTAAAAACCCATAGTTTTGGTAAAACTGTATTTTTATTCGAGTTTAACTGCTTATAATTTAAAATTCAGTCATTTTTGGGCAATAAAATTAGAAAAAAAGTTGTTTAAAGATATTTAAAAACTGATTCTTGCATTTTCCCAACATGATTATATCAAAACATTTTATTTGAAGTAAAATATTAGGATACTGAACAAAATTTTCAACACTTCCAAACATCATTTTGTTTGGCATATTACATTACTGAAGAATGTCAAGATTGAAAGATTTGTTTAGCTTATTTCTAATGTTTAAGAAATGCCAAATTTTATTTTCAATTTATTAATAGTTTCAAGCTTTTTTGTTTGTTTCTTTATTTCTAACAATTAAGAAGTGCAAAATTTTGAATCCTTTGCAAATCAAGCTATAATGATAAAAGTAAGTATCACTATTTTCAATAAGTATATTACAATATTTCTGTATGAATGTATATCCTTCTATAAGAATACATGTATATAGTTGCAAAATCAATAGCAATCATTTACAACATTCATTTATAAAGGCAATTATGTGAAAATAATATATTGTCTGCTATATGCCATAAATTTACAAAACAGTAGGTTTTTGACAGTTTTTACCGGTAAAAACACGGTTTTAACCACTGTCATGTCAAAAACCAGTTTTTGACGGCAAAAACCCAACCCTGATTTATTGGGTGCCAACATTCATTTATAACTACTAGTTGTGTACTGTAATATAGATTGAGATGTCTCGTGAGAGTATTTATTTTGGAGCAAAGATTTATACTCTTTTGAAATAAGTCATGTTTCTGATATTGACTTTGGGAATAATGCTGTTCTTTTAAGATTGTTTATGTCTAAAAATCCAAAATTTGAAGTTTACCTAATTGTAAATTGCATCTATTAAAAAATTTAATTATGTGCTAATTTATGCGGTTGACAAATGCAAAACTAATGCACTCCCTGTTTATTCTAGAAATACCATCAAAGTATTTTAACAAAATTATTTAGAAAGTAATAGTATTCATGTTGCATAATTATTAATATTTTTATTACGTCATTAATTTTTAAAATATTTTTCTATATTACATATATTTTTATGTAAGATTTTGTATTTCTGAACTTACTTTGCTCTAAAATTTTTAACTTTCAAAATTAATGATCATTAATTATTTAAAGTATATGTAAGTATATACTGAGCTCATAATAATGCTGTGAAATGGAGTTAGGAGTATTCAATAGGAAACTATGAGTACTAAAATAACTGAAGCAAATAGTTTTTTAAGTTCATTAAACAAGAAAATTGAGCAAAACTACAATGCAAACAACAATGAAAGCATCATGTTAAATGATGTATCATCTAATAGATTTATATCTGATTTTTATATTAACCTTGAAAGATTGTTTTGAGATTTTCCTTTTGACCAGAAAACTGACTTCTATAACTTATTGGTGCTCAAAATACTTCTTTTATTGCTAATTTTATTTATTCATTTTGATTTTGAACGGAATTTTTTTTTAAGCAAAGGATGTTTCTTATGAATTGTTTATCATATAGCTGCCTCCTCTTATCCTAAAATTTAGTTCAAGTTTTATAATACTATGCAAAGGGAGATAAGGGGCCTAAATGATTTATAAATCTCTCTCTTAAGTTGAAGTACATTTTTAATGACTGTCAACTTAATTTTTATTAGCATTTTTAACTATGCAATTATACATATGATGTTTCTGCAAACTATTTGAATTCTGAAAATTTAATTCTTCAGAATCATGTCAGTCCACATTTTTAGGTTCCTTTATTTTCTGAAATTCAGCTGTCATGTTTCTTTTTTTTTTCATTAAATTTAATTTTAAATTAAAAAGTAAATTATTCTTTTAGTAAAATTTCTAAAAAAATTTTGTGGTATATTGTTTAACTTATGTGATGCATAAAAAATAACAATTGGAAAAAAGTGTATTCGAAATCACTGACTAGTTTATGGAAAAGATTTGAAAGTTCTGGCCCGTGTAAATGTATTATACAATAATTAATACATTTTTATTAAGAGACAAAGCTGTATAATAGGATTTGATTTATAGCTCTTTATTCATTTTCATTTAAAGGTAAATAGATTTTTTTTTTTTTAATCTTAAGATATATTTGTTCCATAGCTTTGAATTATTACCAGTTCATATTTCCAATTAAGGGCAAATTTATTAACCTAATATTTGTGATATTTAATTTTAAAAAAAATATTCATTGTTTCTCTATGTTCAAGCCTAGAAATAGTCCTATATTTTACCAATTTAATAATACACTGTAAAATAAACGAATATACACATTCAACATACATGGCAATGTTACTTTTAAAGAGTAATAAATAAAAGTTCAAGTACTTTAAGCAAAAGTAACGAGTAATGTTTTTATTTTAAAATTAATAATTTTTTTTACATTTAAAATGCATGAAAATGTTACAAAATTCATTTAAATAGTAAATGTTGAAACCCAGCAAAAAAAAAAAACAGAAATCAAAATTCAATGTTTGCTTATAAATATATTAATTTCAAAAGATTATCAAATCATTGGAAATTACTTTTTACTTTGGAATTTGTTGTAAACTTGTTGAACAAATATGATAAACATTGTAGTTTTTTTTTTTTTTTTTTTTTTTTTTTTTTTTTTTTTTTTTTTNTTATTTATTTATTTTTTAAGAAATATGTAACAAAATAATAAATTTTATTCATATTCAGGTAACCTCTTGAATTGAAATTATATTTTGCTTTTATAAAAGTTTATAAACATGATTTTAGAATTTTAAATAATGACTATTTTTTAATTCATAATATAGATATGATGTATTTAATCCACTCTAAAAAAGAAATAATAAATAAATAAACAAAAGTTTTATTTTTAAATTTATGTAGTACACTTTTAGTTAATGTTGTAAATTTTGAAAAAGAAAGAAAACTTATTTTTATTCAAAGTCAAAAAAAGAATGAAACTCTAGAATTGATTTTAATGCATACTATTTTTGAATTAAATGAAGCATAATTTTTATATTTTAAAATTTAAATGGCAAAAAATTTAAATTTTGTGAAAAAATTTTCGATTTAGTAACATCAAATACATTATTAAAATCATTTTGAAAAATACTCATATGGTTGACTAAAACATTGTTTGTCAAAATTAAATAAATGGATTAAAGCCTTTTCAGATTCAAAACAATTAGATTTTATAATGTTTCATAGATTTTTTACCTAAAAATTAAGTCTGCAAGGTACTCACCCTTCTCCCGTTAATCTCAAGCCAAATTAAACTACATAACAAGGAACCTCAACCTACACTTATTAATCTAAATGTTTGCCCATAAAAAAGGGGAGTAAGGGCCTTTTTTTTCTTATGGGCGTAGCCTAAGCCCAAATACATCAGCAAACATCAAAGATACATGGAATTTGTAACTTAAACAAAACTATTTTCTGTACCGCCACTGATCCAAATTCGTGACCATCAATAGTGTTTTCCTTTTCCATGACTTACTACTTCGAAATATTTCTATGAGGAACATAAGAGCATTTGTGAAAGCAAGCCTATGAAACTCACATTCACACAGAGATAATTAATACAGGACAGGGTGTCAATGTAGACAGTATATTGATGTCAGAATAATTAATACAGGACAGGGTGTCAATGTAGACAGTACATTGATGTCAGAATAATTATAGTCTTCAGGTACTAAAAGGTTGGATAAACTATATTTCTGAAAATAATATACATTCATTTTAGATAACGGTGTTAAAATGCAAAATTTTTTCCCATTCTCGATTCCCTTTCAACATCACAGGTATGTGACGCCATATATCACTACTGATATATAATTCTTAGAAAATAAGTAATACTTGTTTCAGTACTACTGGAATACTATAAAAGTCATTGAGTGTTCTTAAGTGCCACCCTCTCTCAGGAAATTGCAATCCTTAAAGGTGTTTGCAAAAAGAAGTTAGGTATGAAAGAATATATAATACATAAAATGTATAAATTGAAAATAAATAAAAAATTGAGGAAAATATTTTAGAAATTTCAAGAAAAAGATTGTTTTGAAAGATGATTTTTTTTCAACATACTTTTTCCTAAAAAAAGTTACGAAAAATAAGTATAAATACGTATTTTTTACTTTTGTTATTTACAAGTATCGAAAGTAAAAGTATTGCCATGTGTGCGCATAATATACACACATAAATGAATTGTAAAAATATTTAATTTTGCTTACCTGTTTTTATTTAGTACCTGGAGTAAAA